GTTGGCTTATGAGGAGAGACTGAGTAGATTGGGATTATATTCATTGGAATTCAGAAGATTGAGGGGGGATCTTATAGAAACATATAAAATTATGAAGGGAATAGATAAGATAGAAGTAGAGAGGATGTTTCCACTGGCAGGTGAAGCTAGGACAAGAGGGCATAGCCTCAAGATTAGAGGGAGCAGATTTAGGACTGAACTGAGAAGGAATTTCTTCACCCAGAGGGTTGTTAATCTATGGAATTCCTTGCCCAGTGAAGTAGTTGACGCTACTTCAGTAAATGTTTTTAAAAAAAAGGTAGATTTTTTTTGAACAGTAAAGGAATTAAGGGATACGGTGAGAACGCGGGTAAGTGGATCTGAGTCCACGAAAGGATCAGCCATGTTCTTATTGAATGGCGGAGCAGGCTCGAAGGGCCAGACAGCCTACTCCTGCTCCTAGTTCTTATGTTCTTATGTTCAGTATCCTGGGCTAGATCCCATCAGGCCCCAGGGACTTAACTACCTTAATGTTGTTTCAAGACATTCTAATTCCTTGTTTAAGTTCTTTCCGGCTTCCTTTATATTCCTCACTGATCTTGTCTTAGTTCAGTTTCCTAAACCTCATATGTTTCTTTTCTCTCTTGACTAAATTTTCAATACCTCTTGTTATCCAGGGTTCCCAAATCTTGCCATCCTTACCTTTCATACTTAAAGAACATGCTGGTCCTGAATTCTGATCGACTGGCCTTTAAAAGACTTCCATGTCCCATGTGGATTTACCCTCAAAGAGCTACCCTCAATCTAATTTCTCTAGTTCCTGCCTATTGTTATTAGCCTTTCCCCAGTATAGCACTTTCAGCCAAGGACCAGACTTATCCTTGTCCATAACTATCTTAAAACTAATGGAGTTAAGATTACTGTTCCCAAAATTCTCCCACATTGAAGCTTCAATCATTTGGCTAGGCTCATTCTCCAATAGAAGGCCTCGTATAGCCTTTCCCCATTTGGATTATCTATATATTATTGTTCTATATATTTATTGTTGAAGAAACCCTCCTGATGCTCCCAACAAATTCTGCCCCATCTAAGCCCCTTGCAGTAAGCAGGTCCCTGTCAATATTGGGGAAGTTAAAATCATTCACTTTCTAATTAGGACAATGCAATGCTAGCCTGGGATCTCAATATTGTGGCCTGTGTCACAACACAAGGATGTTTATCCTCATATCGCCAATACCAACAGTTTTACCCAAAATTTAGAAACTGCCGAAATATAAGCCATCATTTTACAAACTAGCAATTGGAAGCAGTTGGCAATAACTGCAATTAAGGGTTAAAGTTGCTCATATAGCTCATATCACTGAATTAGATGAACCATTACTCTTTGTACATCCCAAAATGTACTTTGGTGAGGATGAATCTGCCAAGTGGTGCCTTTGAAGGAGTCTGATTGAATGATGGAGGCTGTAAGGATTTTAAAAGAGGCAGTATCCCTTTTGACATTGGCTTCGCTGTTTGGTGTTCTGCAATAGTAGCAGCATCCAAAAGTAGCCAAGGCTCAGTGGGAGTGGGAACAGATTGCTTCTTTTGTGATGAATCATAATAAGAAACACAATGATGCAGCAAAATCCCAGGCCAATCCATCCACACTCAACAGTTTACCACTCAGTGCTACACAATAGAGGATGGTCATTGTCCTTTCAGGGACCAGGATGGAAAATGTAGCTAAACCTTTAGAACCTGTTACCTATTCAAAGGAGTTCAGTCCTGGATCTAACTGCAAAGTGTCAGTTTTTGTCAATAAAGACACACCGAATTATTAATAACCTTAAAGGCTTGTGTTTATGGTTTCATTGCTGCAGAAACAGACTACTCTAAGGCTTGGTTTAGATATGCCCCGCATGTAAAAGGGATACTGAATCTTTAATTCCACATAAATGATTCTATCACTTGCTTTTCTTTAAAATCCCCTGCCCCTGTGTGTTTGTTATGATTCCTTTGAATAGCTATCCTCCTCATCACTGATGTGAACCTTCTCCTCTGACAAGCTGCTTTCATCAATGTTCTCTAGTGAGGAGGCATGCTGCAGTGAGAGTTCTGAAAGGCTGACGCTCGGCAGTGTATTCTGCTCAGGATAGACCCAGGGCTTGAAGTTAGGGTTGTGTCTCTGCTTCCACTCAGGATATTTCAAACAGGCTTTGTAAATCCGCTTCATAGCCTGGAGAAAACAAAGAGTGTAGACTGGTTTCAGGCTTAGAATCATAGACTCATACACTATAGAAGAGATCATTCAGCCCATTAAGTCTGCACCAATAAAAATTATTTTAAATCAACACTTACCAGCACTGGCCCACAGCCTTGAATTTTATGATAGTTCAAGTGTCATCCAAGTACTTTTTAATGGTTTTGAGGTTTTCCACCTCATCTACCCTCCTGGCAATGTATTCCAGGTTCCCACCACCCTCTGGGTGAAAAATGTTTCCCACAAATCCCCTCTAAACCTCTTGCCTTTCACTTTAAAATTATACCCCCTTGTTACTGACCTTTCAACTAAAGTGAACAGCAATTCTGAAGAAGGGTCACTGTACTGAAAAATTAACTCTGCTTTCTTTCCACACATGCTGCCAGACCTGCTGAGGTTTTCCAGCAATTGTTGATTTTTCTTTCTGTTCACCCCGGCCCTAGATTTATTTATTTCTTCAATATATTGTCACTTGTACCCTAGGTACTGTGAAAAATGGATAATGTCACCACTTTCAGTTGCCATCTTGGATTACAGAATAAATGACTGAATAAATTGGATAATTAGTAAAACACTGAATAAATTAATGTTAAATTGATATTACTAAGACTGAAACAGCTTCAAAACTTTATCTTTCCCTCTCCATAGGCTTCACCCTCTCTGCTCCTCCAGTTGCTGCCATCTGACAATGTCCCCAGAGTCCTGGCAACATGCTCCTCTCCTGCCACCACCATGCTGTGACTTCCACATCCGCTGCCTCCGAGCTGGAGACATTCATGCAGCATGGGTCTTGCACCTCCTCCAATGCTGGACATCGACTGACAGGGCCCTGGCTCTGAGTCCATGTACAGGGTTCTGGTGGTGCCACCCAAGATGGAGCAGGGTTGGAGATACATGGGGCCCTGGCCTCCCACAGGAGGGCATCAGAAGGAGGCCCCAGGGCAACCAAAACAATAAAAAGTGTCACCGAGCTGGAAAGACAACGAGGAAGCTGTATAGACGCGGCAGGACCTGTCGCCCGAGCTGTGAGTGGCTGTGCCCTGCGTTCAGGAGCCAATTACGTGTCAATTCCCCTCATAATCTTACACACCTCTATCAGGTTCCCCCCTCAGCCTTCGCTGGTCCAAAGAAAACAATCCCAGTGTATCCAGTCTCTCTTCATTGCTGAAATGCTCCATTGCAGGCAACCTCCTGGTGAATTTCCTTTGAATCCCTTCCAGTACAATCACATCCTTCCGACAGTGCAGTGACCAGAACGGCATACAGTACTCCAGCTATATAATGTCCCAGCTCTTTTAATCTATATCATGACTAATAAAGGCAAATGTCCCTTATGCATTTTAACTACCTGATTACTCTGACCTGCCCCCTTCAGGGATGTGTGGACAAACACCCCAAGATCCCTCTGTTCCTCTGAGCATCATAGTATCCTGTCATTCTTGAGTACTCCCTTGCTTTGTTACTTTTTCCAAAGTGCATCTCCTCACATTTATCAGGGTTAAATTCCATCTGCCACCGATGTGCCCATGTGACCAACCATTAATCTTCCTGTCACCTAAGACATTCTTCATCAATGTCAACACCTGGCCTATCTTATCTTCTCCCCCACATTCTCACTACATCATTTGTATAAATCACAAACAACAATGGATCCTGATCCCTGTGATATGCCTCTGGACACAAAAACAGAAGTTGCTGGAGAAGCTCAGCAGCACCTGTGAAGAAAAATCAGAGTTAACATTTTGGGTCCGGTGACCCTTCCTCAGAACCGGACTGTACGCTGGACTCCAGTTACAGACACAGCCTTCCACCAGCACCCTCCGTCTCCTGCCACTGTGGCGATTTTAGATCCTATTTATCAAATTACGCTGGATCCCATGAGCCTTTACTTTTTTCATCAGTCTCCCATGTGAGACCTTGACAAAATCCTTGCTGAAATCCATATAAACTACATCCATTGAACTACCCTTATGTACATACTTGGTCTTCTTCTGGAAAACTTTAACCAGATTTGTTAGGTATGACCTCCTTCTGACAAAGCCATGCTGACTATTCCCAATCAAACTATACCTCTCCAAGGGGAGATTATTTCTCTCCTTCAGAATTTTCTCCAATTGTTTCCCTATCACTCTGGTTTATCTCTGTCACCTTTTTAAAAAAAGGTGATGATCATCGATAATCACTTCCTTTTGATTAAATGACTTGTATTAACAGCAGGAGGTAAATGTAAGATTAGGTTTCTGTCCCTCCTTTATTATGTCAGGCCCCTGCTCCCAGATTTCTGGCTGCACTTCAGGCCCCTGCTCCTGACCATTGGTCACCCAGTGCAGGCCAGAGGGACTTTCTTGTAGGCCTTTGCTGCAGTGTGGCCAAAGTGACCGAGGTTAGAGATGGTCCAAGAGAGTGTTATTGCTGTCTATCTCTGGGTTTGTCTGCACAAGTGGCTTTGGAGAAGAAATGTGCAGCTTTATTTTTATGATTGCTGTGACACTGTGCTGCAGTGTGTTGTAATAATATTATATGCATTTTATTCTAGCCTTTTGTGTTTTCCGAATATTAACTTTTTTACTGATCATGGCTATGCCTTTAGATACCAAGAGCCCTAGGTTCTGGCGTTCCTTTCCTTAACCTCCATTCTTCCTTTAAAATGGTCCTTGAAATCCATCTCTTTGTCAATGCTTTTTGTCATCTGTATGTAGCTCAGTGTCAAACTGTGATAACACACCTACAAAATGCCTAGGGTTGACTTACTAGATTAAAGATGCTGTAGAAATATGAGTTGTTGCTCTTTTGACATTTCCTTTGGGTTTAAATTCTTTTATTAAGAGGGTCAGTTTCATGTGTCTTCTGGAGGGTGTGAGTTCAGTTCTGAGGAAGGGTCGCCGGACCCAAAACGTTAACATTAATTTTCTGATAATGGATATCTCATTGTCTCAAACACAAGTTAGCAGGTGGAATCACTTTGGACTAGTTCAAAGCATTTCACTGAACAGCACTCATTCTCATGGGGAGGTGGTGTTGTGATGGTAATGTCCATGGGTGAGTCATTAGACCCCCAGACCCTTGATCTGGCAATGTGGGGCTGAATCTCACTATGGCAGATGGTTTACCTTTTAATTCAATAAAATCTGGAATAGAAAGCTGATCAAATGGTGACCATGTAACCATCATTAATTGTCATAAAAACCCATCTGGTTGATCAGCATCCTTGAGAGAGGCAAATCTGCTGTCCTTACCTAGTCTGATCTACTCGTGACTCCAGACCCACAGCAATGTGGTTGACTCCTAGTTACCCTCTGGGTAATTAGGAATGGGCAATAAATGCTGGACCCATATCCCACAAACAAGTAAATCAAAATCCTTACCTTGGGAGCTACAAACTGGGAAACTTTATTCACAACCCATTTTGGTAAAGACCCTGTGAGATATAAAGGGAACAATTTAATAGAACTTAAGGATAGTTTAATCATTCAAAACCATTTTGCCTGCAATGATTCCAAATTACAGCACTCATCCAATCTTCACATCTCCAAACAGAAAGGAAATTTGATTCCTGCTGTAAAAATAAAACTACAAGGTTCAATGAGAAAAGATATTAGTTGGAAAATGTTCTGCCCAGATTCTGATTTAGCTGTAAGTACAGACTAGCATCTCATAGCAGGATAGTAAATGAAGGGGAAAGATGGACTCATTCTTTACTGGCATTCTCCACTCACTTGGACCATGACCTCATCATGGCACTTCGCCTTCCTTCAAAACAAAGTTCTGCAGTTGTTCTGTGATATCTTTAACCCTGGCACTGTACAAGCCCATGCAATTTTCCCAAGCCCAATATATTTATTGTTGGTAAGTTCTAAAGAAAAACAAGTGGTTACCCTGATCGTCACATGACTAGCAGCTTGCTACATCTGCCTCCTCTGCCAGTATGTGGGACAGGATAAGGGTTGTTGGAGGCAGTTCGCTACCACCAATCATCCTTTGTCTATGCTGTCTCCAAGTCTTGACTATTCATCATCTGTAAAGGGTAGACCACTGCTGAGTCAAAATCAAAGAGACACTTGTCTTAGTAAGATGAGCACAACTCATACAATCAGTCATGCAAAATTACTAGGAGTCCTACAAGGAACTATGCAGAATACATCTGCTCCCTATGAAGGCTAGAAGTCACTATCTCCCCACAAAGCCTGATGTGTCATCATCAGATTGGGTGAGCTCAATGTAAGATAAAAATTAACTTCTTCAGGACTATAACCCTTTCACAACCTTTGAATATCCCAAATTGCTTAATAAGGAAAGGAGCACGAGTTTTAAAAAAAGTGCAATCCCTCTGGAGGAAAAGAAATAGACAATTGTACAGCAAGATCCAAATACATTAATGTGACAATGACCAGATCATCTGTTTTTAGTGACAGTGGCTTAAGGATAAATATTGGCCAGGACACCTAGGATAACTTCTTTGCTCTGGCCACCTACTTTTGATGATGCGTTTACTTGAGGGTCTGCTTACGACTGAGCTTCAGTGCCTAATGCACTTAGCTCTGCAGCAAGGTTGACAGAGCTGCAGAGGGAAGGGCATGTTTTGTTGGATTGACATGTCGACTCCCTTGTCAAGTGATATCTATTCTTTATAGCTTTCCAACATTTATGTGTTTATTTACTCAAGATTAAGAGGCTAAAGTGAACAAAAATTTCTGACATTGATATTATGAAATGTTGTGATTAGATGACAGCTTTATGAGAGGGATAATTTATTTGAAAGGGAATGTTAAACAGTTTTCTTTTGCTGTTTTTCAATTCAGGTGTAAGATTCTCCTGTTTCCCAACTCCTCTGTGCATTAGTGAACCACTGCTAATGGAATGGCCCCTCTCTATCACAGCTTTTCAGGTTTGAAATGCACAGACTTATAACCAGCCAGCAAGACCCATGGTGCTACACACAGGCTGCCTCCAATAGGCACCATCCCACATCGGCCAAAGTTACTTGAAAGGAGGTGAAAATCCTGGATACAGGTCCTAGCTGACAGTTATAAATCTTACTCACCTCCAAGATGAAAAAGACGGGGCAGAAGCATCAAGCCTCAGTATAAAGGACAGCAGCTTTGCAGAATCTCTTAGCAACAAGACCCAACTTTACATAGCCAATGTCAAAGACTGACATAAACTAGGGTTCCTCCAGAACTCCATCATCTACACACTGTGAGTCTGTGAATATGGGCCAGGATCCGGCAGTGTTAGTGTAAGCAATGTCAGGCAACTGAGAGGGGAGTACTGGGTGGGACTACAGCCTGTTCCTTCATTCCAAAGAAAGCACAGGAAATCAACAATGTCAACTTTCTGAATTAATCACTGGAACATGAGTTTCATTGCTGAATCCTATCCGTGTAATTACTTCAATTCAGTAAATCATGTTGGAGTGTTTTATAATAACAAGGCACTTGAGAAATACAAGTTGTTGCTTTTGTTGATGTTGCTGTAGGCATTGTTGTTGGTGTTGGTATTGGTGTTGTTATAGATACAGAATCACAGAGTCATATAGTACAGAAACCGTCCCTTTGGTCCACCATGTCTAGGCTGGCCATATCATGTCCACTGGCTCTCCTTGGTCTAACTTTTCTGAAGTCAAAAAAGGTTCGTCCAGGATATCAGGGATCATTCCAGTGAACTTTCTCTAAACTGGCTCCAATAAATTGATACCATTCCTTGAATAAGTGGACCAAGACTGCTCACTATACTCCAGATGTGGTTTCACCGCACCTTGCAGTAAGACTTGATAGAGAGTACACCTGGATGAACACAGCAGGTCTGGCAGCATCAGAGGAGCAGGAGAGTCGGTGTTTCGGGCCTAGACCCTTCATCAGTCCTGACTTACTGTGTTCGTCCAGGTCTACTGCGTACAGTTCTGGTCGCCACATTACCAAAAGGATGTGGATGCTTTGGAGAAGGTGCAGAGGAGATTCACCAGGATGTTGCCTGGTATGGAGGGCGCTAGCTATGAAGAGAGGTTGAGTAGATTAGGATTATTTACATTAGAAAGACAGAGGTTGAGGGGGGACCTGATTGAGGTCTACAAAATGATGAGAGATATAGACAGGGTGGATAGCAAGAAGCTTTTTCCCAGAGTGGGGGACTCAATTACTAGGGTTCACGATTTCAAGGTGAGAAGGGAAAGGTTTAAGGGAGATATGCGCGCAAAGTTCTTTACGCAGAGGTTGGTGGGTGCCTGGAACGCGTTGCCAGCGGAGGTGGTAGAGGCGGGCACGATAGTGTCATTTAAGATGTATCTAGACAGATACATGAATGGGCAGGAAGCAGAGGGATACAGATCCTTGGAAAATAGGCAACAGGTTTAGATGGAGGATCTGGATCGGCACAGGCTTGGAGGGCCAAAGGATCTGTTCCTGTGCTGTAATTTTCTTTGTTCTTTGTTCCTTGTACACTGTATTGACTCTGACTCCAGCATCTGCAGTTCTTGCTACCTTGCAGTAAGACTTCCCTGGTCTTATAGTCCAACCCCCTTGAAATAAGAGCCAATACTTCATTTGGGGGGGCAATGGCCCAGTGGTATTATCGCTGGGCTGTTAATCCAGAAACCCAGATAATGTTCTGGGGGTAACAAGGTGTAGAGCGGGATGAACACAGCAGGCCAAGCAGCATCAGAGGAGCAGGAAAGCTGACTTTTCGAGCCTTGACCCTTCATCAGAAAAGATTTCTGAAGAAGGGTCGAGGCCCGAAACGTCAGCTTTCCTGCTCCTCTGATGCTGCTTGGCTTGCTGTGTTCATCCAGATCTACACCTTGTTATCTCAGATTCTCCAGCATCTGTAGTTCCTACTACCTCTGAAATAATGTTCTGGGGACCCTGGTTCGAATTCCGCCACAGCAGATGGTGGAATTTGAATTCAATAACATATCTGGAATTAAGAGTCTAATGATGACTGTGAATCCATTCAATTGTTGGAAAAACCCATCTGGTTCACTAATGTCCTTTAGGGAAGGAAACTGCTATTCTTACCTGGTCTGGCCTAAATGTGACCCTAGATCCACAGCAATGGGGTTGACTCTTACCTGCCCTCTGGGTAATTAGGGATGGGCAATAAATGCTGCCTTTGCCAGCGACACCCTCATCCCGTGAGTGTATAAAGAAAGATAAAATAGCCTTCTTGATTACCTGCTGCACCTGTGTACTAGCTTTCTGTGTTTCACACACAAATTTCCCCCAGTTCCTTTGTGTTGCAGCTGTCTGCAGTTTCTCTTCAAGTTTCTTGAGTAGACCTGTAGCTCAGATGGTGGATGCTGTGGTTGGTTTGCTCGGCAGCTTGGCGAGCGAACCAACCAGTTTCTCTCCATTTAAATAATAATTTGTTCTTTGATTCTCCCTTCCAAAATGAACAACTTTGCATTTTCCCACATTAATCTCTACATTTCACAACACATCTACTGGTTCCCCTCTATCCACTTTGGTTGAGACTTCCTCAAAAAACTTTAATGAACTGGCTGGTATACTTGCAACATTTTAAAGGCATCTGGATGGGTATATGAATAGAAAGGGTTGAGAGGGATATGGGCCAAATGCTGGCAAATAGAACTAGATTAATTTAGGATATCTGATCAGCATGGACGAGTTGGTTCGAAGGGTCTGTTTCCATGTTGTACATCTTTATGACTCTAATTAGTCAGGCACAATTTCTCTTTCATGAAGCCATGCTGACCCCTGCTTGATTAGATGATGATTTTCGAAATGTTCTGCTATTGTGTGCTTAATAATAGACTTCAACACTTTTCTATCAATAGATGTCAGCCTAATTGGCCTATACTCACCTGCATTTTCCCTCCCTCCCTTTTTGAATCGGGTGTTCTTCAGACTCAAGGGATCAAAGGGTCTGGGAAGAAAGTGGGAGCATGGGACTGAATTAGATGGTCAGCTACGATCATATTGAATGGTGGAGCAGGCTGAAAGTGGTCAAACAAATGTCTTTCTACTGGAGTTGAGGGAAATGACAGAGAGTGGAATTCACTATCCCGAGCAGTGCATCTATTTTCTACCTTTCTATGGCCAGCTTCGTATTTTCCAACAGAATGCTCCATCTATCAGATTTTTGCCCACATATTTATTCCATGCATACCGGTTTACATCTTGTGATGTTAGCTTCACAACATACTTCCTTACCAAGCTTTGTGTCATCTGCACGTTTAGTGACCAGGCCTTTGATCCCCTCAGAACGTAGAACAGAGAACAGTACATCACAGTACAGGCCCTTTGGCCCACGATGTTGTGCCAACCTATTATCCTACTAAGATCAAACTACCCTGCCTACCCTACATTTTACTATCCTCCGTGTGCCTATCCAAGTGTCGCTTGAATGTCCCTAAAGTATCTGACTCCAGTATCACTGCCGGCAGCGCATTCCACACGCCCACCA